GACAGTGATGGGCTCCGTTGCTTTAGCAGTAATGACTCCGTTTAACTTCCTAATGGCTTCCTCGGCCTCTATCCGCTGATCGAACCGAATGAAACCGACGCCACGTGACAGACCTCAAATCGCAAGAGTGAAAATACGACCGAGTAGTTACTACGATGAGAAATGACATTTTTCCTGTTTCAAAAGGAAACGAATCTGTTGTTAAGACTAATGTTATCATAACACCATTGAGTTTGAAAAGAGTGTAGTTTACAGTTTGGTCTAAATATAAGGAGGATTGAGTAAATGGTGTCGAGCGAACAGATGCTTACAATGTCACTCTTGCGGACACCTGAGCACCCATTCACCCTGAACACAAGGCAATGGACAAGGCACTATTATGTAAACTTTAAAGTATTATGTCCATAATGTAGCAAAGCACATTTGAAAATAGTACATTTTCAGGACGCTTATCTTATTCAGTAGTGAACTTGTTTTTGCGTTAAAATAAGGCTCAGTAAAACACACCGACTTTCTGATGACTATTCTCGGCATATTTTCTTGCCACCGGGACCAATGAGCATACTGCACCTGCACACTCACCTATACTCCATAAACTAAAATAACTCTCCGGAGTAGACACTTCCAGATCCACTAAACTTGTTCTTCTAGCTCAAAGCAGCAGTTGCAATGCAACTTGGTTTTACCGTTCAGTAATGTCCTGTGTGTGTTCGCTAACTGGATGACAGGCAGATTTCGGGTGGCCGTTCAACACAACTATGCTAAATTTAGCAAGTGTCTACAGCTGAAAGCCTTTAAGGATGTTTTTTAGGTTATTGATGTTTATTCTGGAAGACGTTATATGCAAATTCCGACCACCGTTGCCTGATTGTCCTATCCGGTAACCGCGTTGGACATTTTTGCTTTGCTCAGTTAACCATGGTTTGAATGAGGGCATAGATAGCTTTTAGGCTTCGAACTGTTTACGAAGAAATCATTTAAATTATAATCCAGCATTTTGCATAATTACATGGTTCAATTAGTTACAGATGCCCACCGCGATATCCAGCAGCCAAATTCATCAAACCATCCTTTTGAAGGCTCATAACAGACCCGTCACACCACCATCTGAATCCTTTTGTCCTCAAAACTGCCAAAAGTAATTCTTTCGCAGGTGAACAACTATTTCTACAATTAGCGTGACTATACACTGTATCGGTTAGCAGCCTAATCGAAATATTTCAGTAAAATTTCATCGATAGCAAGAGACAGTGTAAAACCGTATTCATTGAATTCTTCATTAGGCCCTTCGGGGGGTGTTTTACACAGAATACACAGTTTATAGGGAACAGTGCATGTTTGATGTATCGCAGGAGATTATGCAAGCTAGCTGTAGCAACTAATCACGCGTGTGTTCACTAAACTCACGGATGTGAACTATTCAAATCAATATCAGTAGTGCATGAAATACTGACATTTTTTCACTTATCTTCGTAGGGACTCAGAATCACGATAAAAGGACCAATAGAAACCTGAACGCTTGCTGCCTGACTTAGTGAAACTGGGGTTGTTCGGTATCAAATAGCAAAACCGACCATCAGGATGGCGGTGCATTGCAGCCCAGTGAATAAAGGCGACTAACCGGAACACTTGAAGTGGATTCATTCCCGCCAAAAAACGTGTGGTTCATCATATTTAAAAGAACGGTAGATACTATAGTTGAGTGTTTTGCTTGTGACACAGATACTACTGGTACATTACCTGGTGCATTAATAAGCTGTTCCAAACTGTAAAAAAACACATTAATCCGTTTCTCTCCATATCGACTCGCGTTTTTTCAAGTATCGGTAAATACTCATGCAACGCACCCCGAGTACGACTAAATCATAGCCCGAAAACCAACAAACTCGAAGTGCAACAAGAGTAAGAGGCATCTGGTCAGGTAATCCAGTTTGTGGCATTGTGGTAGAACGAGGAAATACTTTGATTCGATTAGCGGAAAAGATATTATCCTCAAGAGATTTGGTGTACCAAATTAGGTTTTGATAGATTGTGTCAGAGCAACAGTTAGGTCGGATGAAAATGAGTGAATTCGACTTGCTAGAAAAAGGAGTTCCAGAAATCGGATAGTCAACAAAACGTTTGTTCTGGATGACACGACAGAAATTAAAGTTGACACTTGACATCAGGTTGGAGTGCAGGAAAAACCGCTTTCGGTTAGCGAAACATGGAGGTTGTTTAAACATTCGATATTATATTATCTTCATTTAACCTCATTTATATACCAGGGAGTTCACACACTTTCGGGTATACAAGTTTTAGGCTTACAGTAGAAATGTTTTATTCTCGTGTCATGCATAGCTGACTATAAACCTCGTTTTCTGCACTTAGGTTAAGATAAACTTTGCCTGCTCAGACTCGAGGACGCCGAATGATTTATCAGATTCTTTATCCAAAGGAGATTTTCTCAGTTGCGGAATTTCATACGACAATGAATAGTAGTTCTCTGTTTCCTGTACGGAAAACCAAAACGAAGCTCTAAAGAGAAGCGACCGAGAAGTCATTCTAAAACCGGGTATGGGGGAGCTTGGTGTGTGATTGACCAGACTCCGGTAAACAAGTTCATATGCAATCAATGATCGGTGTTCTTGGCGGTGTACAAACAAAGCATATTGCCGCCGGACATACGAATACGAAGCTCCGTAATTCGAAACGCACAACTTTATTACCCCCTCCATTTGAGTGAGAAGAGGCAATCGATTCTGTACAAGGAAAACAGAGATATTAAAATTCGAGTAAGAATGGAAGAATAAATGTTTATTGGTGAAGTTGGCCATTCGTTTTAAGGTATATACTCTGGGTGAACCAAAGATAGAAGTGACGCCTAGTGTATTTTACAGATGACATCTTTTAACCTGACACTACTACTCACTCACTGTAATGGTGATCAATCACTTTACTCGAAACGGCATTACCGATATCATATGAAATACATTCTACATCATCACTGGAACAGATGGCTACCAGAAAACACAAAGAAGATGAAATTACCATTTGTTGTCTCAAGTAAAGATAAATAACCCTATCGTGTGAAACTGACTGCCTCAATTTAATTTGTTGATAGACTATAAGACAGAACTTTGGCATCTTAGATACCTAAAAAGGGCAAGATGTTAAATAATTTCTATGCCGACATTCGAAAGATGGTGAAATTCCCGCGTGTATTGGGCTAGTTCTGACAGCACTTCCCCAAAGATATGTATCACGCTACTTCGAACGAATCTGGACACCACACTTGTATTCACCTACTCTTTTAATTATTCAACAGGAGAGTGTAGGGATTTTTCCAACCATCTGAGCATGCAACCAAGGTAGAACCAAGTTTGGGCAAGAGCCGGCGAACATAGCTAGCAGCGACAAATGTGAGGTCTGTAATTACTGACTGAGAACGACGATTATCGTGGGGTATGATTACGGACCTGCGTCTCACCAAATCAAGAATGTTTTTATGAGGTTTTGTGGTTTTTCTCCTATTTTTCAACGCTTGCAATGGAACGCCCGACAGTAGCCATACTTTCATTCCTTTGTTCTGTGTCAAATTTGTGTCCAGTGACCTATCAAAGATACAGAGTGCTTCCTAGTTATGAATACCATGTAAATCACTCTCATTGGATGCATCAGTGTAAGATTACTAGAGTTTGGGCAGTCAGGTATATATTTTGGAAGAAATTTACTTACGAAGTTGCCGAAAGCAGTCCGAAAGCTGGCGTATGATTTCGTCCTTGGTTGGGTTCATAAAGTAGGTAGTGTTCCTGAGTTTCTGTCAACATTGTATTCTACTCAGACCCAGAATACACTCATATATGGCTTTAGCTGGAGAAACGGTTGCATTCCACCCGAAAATCTGGTATACTGTATTCTTTATCTGAACGTGCTGCTGAAGAAGAGGATCGATTAGATCCCGTTGGCTCTCCACTTAAAATCGAACTGTTTAGCGCATGAGTGCATTTGACAGAGTTCATACAAGTAGAACACAGGCGTGACAGAATCCCAGCGAATTTGCCTGCGTGATGGGCGGGCACTAGCACAAAACCTGTCGTGGGCTTTCGAATTATTTACAGCAGCCTTCGAAGTATATTTCTTCAAGAAGATCTAAAATATATCCCACATGAGGTGACCTTTATTCAAAATGGTTTTCTGTTGAAGACCAGTATAAAGGTGAGATTCTACAGATATTCTGTCAAGTCTCTCCAATCAAATTAGTGTGCAAATGTATGTTTCTCGAGTGTCTAGGTTTGTCGTATTGTACACATGATACGTTTTGCCCCTATTGCAGATCCTATTCTGCAATTTGTTGCCACAAATCATTGGACAGTAGTTTCTCGTTTTTAATTGATTTGTCTCGATATGAACCTTCGTTTTTAAGCATGAAATACGTAAACCTTATGCAGTATTTTTACTCTGCTTGATAACTATACCTGTGATAACACCAGTAGCTATGCGAATTCCGTAAAAGGAGTATTTTCAGTTTTATCATCACATGCAAGTAAAGTTTGCGGGCGTTTCAACTAGCGCGATAAAAGGGGTCACCTGCCAAGGAGCAGAGTTAGTTGGAACCTGGAACAAAGTGATGGTCACTAGAGACTGTCGTTTGGGCAGAGGATATTCAAGGCTTAAAAATCAGGCTTTCGGCAAACAGTTTAGCTCAAGGATTCGTATGCCACTAGCCTTCGTGTTTTTTAACGCTTGTACCTATACTAACTTCTATAACCATACTTGAACGTGTTCAATCTGTCTGTGTGCTTCCGTGGCATTCATATAGTGCCCTGTGGTTATATTAGATCTATTTGTGGTGTGGTGCTTTCCTACCAGGACTTCAGTAGAAGCATCTTATTGCGCTGGACTAGCCTTGAGGTTTTGGGCACTGGAATTTGGTGTGCTAATAAAATGATTAAGCACTCTAAGGACTCTATCACCCCAAATCTAGGATGGAGGTCAATCTAAAGTGCAATAACGAATTGTCTGTAAAGAGATTACCACGATATTCGTTAAATGTATAGTAATTAATTAGTAGCATAGTAATTAGGGTACACAAATCTTCATCGACAAGAAAGTTATGTCAAGTAGCTTTAGG